CCCGCAGACCCGCCGCCCGGCCCGCCGCGTGCGCGCGCCTGGCTCCCGCGCTTCCTTGTTTGGGCATGAGTGGGGGCGCGCGCAGGCGGGTCGCCCACCCCCCCCCCCACCCCCCTGGAAAGGGCAGGGGAGTGGGGACAGACTCTAGGAGAGCCGCCCGAGGCTCGGAGGGCGCTCTTGCGCCGCGACACCTGGCGGCCCAGCCTGACGCGTGGTCCCCAGAGACCCCCAGCTACGAGCCACTGAGCTGGATTTCAAAGAAGTGAGCTTAAGCGCTTATCGGAAATTCTCAGGCTCGAGGTGTGGGAGGTTGGCGGGGGACTTCTCTGGTAGGCCAAACTCCATTTGAAGTCGCCACTTACATTTGGGACCAGAAATTGAAAAAAAAAAAAAAAGGATATGGACATAGGCTCCAATCTGTATGTATGCTGGACAAGGTATACTGGACTATTTAAGAAATCCAAGAAAGATCACAGTAATGAAAAGTGGGTGGGATGAGGGTTATAAGATAACTAGGAAAGTTAAATGGGCATCCGTTAGCCACCATGTGTCAACTGTGTGACAGAGAACGCGGTCCTGTGGAATCAAAGGACAAACAGACCCTCGCTGTGTCAAGACGCAGGTAGAGTACCCCGAGGTGCACGTTGGTCCAGTCTTCCTAGTACAGAGCACGCTCCCTCCACACACACACTTCGGGCGTGCGAATTTCGGGTAAGCACTTAAGCTCGCTCCTTTGAAATCCAGCTCGGTGGGATCCAGGCGTCAGGCTGGCCTGCTGTTCCAGAGTCAAGTAGTATAGAGCAAGTTTCAATCTCTCTGCTCCGGTTGGCTCTGGGGCATTTCCCAAAGGCCCCCGTGTTCATGACTTGGCTTGATCCCAGCATTATCGAACCTTTAAAGAGGAGTTGGCTCAGTAGTAAAGTGTTTACCAGCGCGAAGCCTGAGTTTTCAGTTCCGCAAAGCAGGATGCAGCAGCCTAAAACCTGTTATCTCAGCGTATCCATGGGGGCAAGGGAGAATCCCTGGAAGCTTCTGTGGCAGGGCAAAAACAAAAACAAAAAAAAACAAAAACAAAAACAAAAAACAAAACAAAACAAAAAACCTCCCAAAGAAGGTGAAGGCGAGACTACAGGGGACGTTTTCCTCTTTCCTCCACCTCAAGCTGAGCTTGCTCTCAAATCTCTCCCTTCCCCCATCTCACCTTCGTACCCATGCTCTCCCTCTTCCTCTCTTCATGAGTGTTTGTCCCAGGGCATGCAGAGGGACCATCAGCCTTGTCTTTTGAGTCACCTAGTAGCCTGAAAGTCCCCTATTAGTCTAATCTGGCTGACCAGCGAGCCTCAAGGAATTTGCCTGTCACAGCCTCGCCAGAGCTGGGATTACAAACTGAACCTCCATACACGACTTTTAAACCTGGATTTGGGGGATCAAACTCCAGTCTTCAAGCTTGTACAGCAAGGACTTTACTAACTGAACCATGCCTTCAGCCCCCCAGGGGTGTGTCGAGGGATGAATGTCATCACACCTGCAAAGGTTTTAGAATGGTATTAATGCAAATTCTGGGTGCATGAATGTGTACTGTCAGTTTAATTTCCTTTACGCTGTCTGGAATTGGTTTTCACCGCTAGCTATTCAGTCTGTTAGTTTCCAAATGTTCCGATGCCATTTTGTTTCCTACAATAAAATACATTTGAGGTCTGGGTGTTCATCACCATAAACAAAAGATTTCCCTGTGTGGCTGTTCACTGGAGGATGGCTCACAATATGAGAACTGCAATTAGCCTATATTCTAACCACAGAACTGTGAGTAAATTTTAGAACAATCTTGTTCTAGATAGCTATTAAAATAATTCATAGGACTGGAGAAATGAAGGTTTGGCCACTAAAGTGCTTGCTGTACAAGCAAGAGGGGCAAAGTTCTGATACCTTCTAACCCCAGGCAAATCCTGGAAGGGTGCCCCTCTAATTCCACAGTCAGAAGGCAGAGATAGGGGATCCCCAGAGCAAGCCATTCAGTGAGGCTAGCGGTATGGGGAAGCTCTGGGTTTTACCCTTTGATTTTTAAAAGATGTATTTATTTTTATTTGTGTGGATATGTTTGCTTGAGTTTATACAAATTATATACAGATGTCAGATCCCCTAGTGTCTTAGGGTTTTTGTTGCTGTGAAGAGACACTACAGCCAAAGCAACTCTTATAAAGGCAAACATTTAATTGGGCTGACTTATAGTTTCAGAAGTTCAGTTCATTATCATCATGGTGGAAGCATGGTAGCTTGCAGGCAGACGTGAGTTCTACGTCTTGATCCATAGGAAACTCCCTTCTGCACTGGACAGAACCTGAGCATCAGAGTTCTCAAAGCCCACCTACACAGTGACACAGTTCATCCAGCAGAGCCACACTTGTTCCAACAATAGTGCCACTTTCCATGGGCCAAGCATATTCAAACCACCACACCTAGAGTTGGAATCATAGGCAGCTGAGAGCTGTCACGTACTGCTGTGAACCAAACCTGGGTCTTCTTAAAGAGCAGCAAACGCTCTTAACTGCAGAGCGTTAACTGCATCACTTTAGCTTGGGGCTTAAGACTCCCTGCCTCAAATGGAAGAGCCTGAGGGAAGAATCTTCCTGAGATCGACCTCAGGCCTTCACTGTCATGTGTGCACATGCACACAAGTGCACACTTATGCGCACACATGTGAAAATGTATAGAAAGGTATTACAGACATCATGATAATGCCTACTGTAGGACAGTGGTTAGCAGACACAGAAAAAGTTTACTGACTCCTGACAGGGATGATACTTTGGGCCAGTCACTATAATAAATCATTTTCTATTAGGAAATTTTAATAACAGGCTAAGTGAACTCCTTAGAGTTACACAGTGCAGTGAGAAGCTTAGTCAGGCTGTCAACCAGGAAGTCTGGTTCTAGAGCCAGTACAATTGGACAAACTTCTACCTCCTTCCAGCTATACTGTCTCCTGCAGAAAGGTGCAAAATAGGAAGTAGAAAAAGGCAGTGGGCAACAGTGGTCAGTACTCCCAGTCTGGCCACCCACACCAATGCTGACATTTCCCTTTCTCAGCAGGAGCCAAAGGGGAGGGGAGTTCTCTTTCTCCTCCCTCCTCGCCCCTGCTTCCGATGACCCCCTCCCCTTTTCTTGGCTACTCCGAATTCTGCATTTGCTTCTGTCAAATTTCCCACAACTACAAATTGTTTAAAGACACATGTCGTGGCTTTTGTAGTTCTAGGAGACCCACCTGTCCCAGGACACTTGCTTTCACCGTTGGATGGGGTCCTACAGTATTCCGGTCATGTAGATGGTATTGCTGAGTATTTAATTAGAAGTGAAGCCACATCTGACTTTTATCTGAGTCTGGGGAAGACAGGACTTTGTAATGTATGACTTCTATTGTACAATATCATCCTGCCTTACAAATTAATTATCCAGCCGGGCGGTGGTGGCACACGCCTTTAATCCCAGCACTTGGGAGGCAGAGGCAGGTGGATCTCTGAGTTTGAGGCCAGCCTACAGAGTGAGTTCCAGGACAGTCAGGGCTACACAGAGAAACCCTGTCTTGAAAAACCAAAAAACAAAAAAAAACAAAAAACAAAAAAACCAAAAAAAAAAAAAGTAAAAAACTCTGGATGTAAAACCTTGGCTGTGGTAATATGTTTGGCTCCCACGTCTCTTTTCTGTTTTATGCTTTTAAACATGATCCTGTGTAGCCCAAGTTGTCGTCAGGCAGCTGAGGATGCCCTTGAATGTCTGCTCCTCCTGCCTCTGCCCCTCAGTGCTAGGCTTATAGGCATGTGCACTTGACCACAGCCTGCCATCACAATCTTTTAAGAAGTTATTTTCATCCTTGTTATTTTCCATTATTATTACTGTATGTGTTTGTGCATGTATGTCACTGCACCACATATGTGCCTAGTACCCACGGAACTAGAATTACAGGCAGTTGGGAGCCGCCACATGAGTGTTGGGTATCAAACCTGAGTCCTCTTACCAGATATTATGGGCCTTATATATGCGAGTTTACTTCTAAGCTTTTTACTGTGTTCAGTGGTCTACATGTCTGTCTTAGTTAGGGGTTTACTGCTGTGAACAGACACCATGGCCAAGGCAACTCTTATAAGGACAACATTTAATTGGGGCTGGCTTACAGGTTCAGAGGTTCAATCCATTATCATCAAGGTGGGAACATGGCAGCATCCAGGCAGGCATGGTGCAGGAGGAGCTGAGAGGTCTACATCTTCATGGAAGGCTGTTAGGAGAAGACTGGCTTCCTTCTAGGACAAGAGTATTAAAGCCCACACCCACAGTGACATGCCTACTCCCACAAGGCTACAATAACGCCACTCCCTGGGCCAAGCATATACAAAAATACTACTGTGATTACTGTTACTTTGTAACACAATTTGAAATCAGCACATGATGCTTCTTGCTCTGTTCTTTCTCAGGATTATCTGGGGGATTTTTGTGCTTCCCTACACATTTTCAATTCTTTGTCTACTTCTATAAAGACTTCAACTAGAATTTTGGTATAAATTCCTATAAACCAATACCATACTTTGGGGGTAGTGTA